CTATTAGACTCACTATCTGGCTTCCTTCGTGTTTAGAATCTAACTTATTTTTATTTGGACATCTATTAAGCTATAGTTTTCTATTACACTATTATTATTGAATCATAATAAATTATTATTATTATTAGACCAACTTTTAATCTATCCCTTAGATCTCTTACCTTTACTACTAATTTAAAATGGTCTAAATCTCCATTTATAAACTTTTATTATTATTTATTTCAAATTAAATCTTATTTTTTATTATCACACTAGTCGATTTTAAGATATTTTTATTTAATTTGCATTCATAAGGATTAATAAACTATCCCCCTAAACTTTTTACAATTTTTAAATTCCAGTTCGTTTAATTCATCAAGAAAGAGGCTTTATACAATCTTCTCAATGCATGAACTGCATCTTTTTATATGGATACTAGAACTAAATTATTTTTCCATTCTAGAAAGTGAATAACTCCGATCACTTTGCCTGAACGCACTTTTCAGTAGCTAAACTCAGTTATAATTCATTTTTATGGATATTGATTATCCTACCCTTCTTAATTAACTAGTCGATTAATAGTTTGTATATCTCATCTTTATTCTTAAGGAGACCAACTTTATTACAGAGTTACTGAATTTCATCAAAGATATAATGAATTTCTTTTATTAGACTAGATCAAAAATAAATTAATGAATAAGTGCTATTGGATCCGGCCCTTGAAAAAAAGACCCGCTTAGGCTACCTTTAGCTGCTTTATAGGGCCGCAAAGGCTACCAGATTCAGAAGCCCATGGAGGAAGGAGCCCGAATAGCTTCCCCATGCATGTTCTAGTAATATGGGGGCGTCTTTCGGGATCAGGTCGGCGGTCAGTAGGTGAAGAGGTCCAGATCCAAACTTGGAGTCGAGGCTTGGAGTCGGGATAGGCCCTGAGAGAGTGGGCATGCTCGACGGCCATGTACAGCTGGGGAGGGATTTACCCCCTTTGGTAAACGGACTGATGCACTAAGAAACAGGAAACTGAGTTGTGACACACTATATTACATAAATATTAAATATTAAATATTAGATTAGATCTAAATGGTAGTTATATAATATTGATTCAGTTTCCTTTATTTTCTTAAGCAACTTAAACCCTTCGACAACCAGTCTAGGGCTTTGAGATCTTTGTAATTACACCTTCACCTATTTAGGTGTAGGTTTCCTTGCATGATTCAACTCTTAGAGCTTTAATGTTAGGTCTCATTTTATTAAAAATAAAGAAAATTTTTATATCTATTATTGAATTGAGACCAGCATTTTTTAGATCAAATAGGCCATGCTGTAATTAATATATAAGTAAAGTTTAATGAGAATTCTAAAATCCATTTTATAATCAGCAATATTAATATGGCTACCAAAACTGGATTTACATTATTTTTTTTAATTAAACCTGACTCCTTTAAAATTAATAAAAAGATATAAAACAAGGGTTCAAGGCTATATTCAAAATTTGATATCTATCATTGAAAAAGTTATTGCTATTTACGAATTATGTTGATATAATTAACTCCAAGCATCACTATAAATCTAATCTTTTATTATCATAAATAGATAATATGTCCTATATATAAGAATCATAAACATAGATATAAATTAGAGTTCCATAAACACAATAATTTATGACTACTTATAGTGTTGATTAATCCTAAAAGAAGCTTTCTGATTAATCATCAAGCTCTATCACAATAAATGTAAAGAAGGTTGTATTCATTCATTTAAGGAAGATTTTCATCAAGCAATTTTTCAGATTTTGAACTACATAAAAACTATTACAAGAGGTTGACTATTTCAAACCTAGAAGGATCTAAAATTATTGAATATTTCTATAACACCAATCAAGCTAGAAATGTAATAAAATAGGCGAATATTAATCAATGATTTGAACCAATTTTCATGATGTATAAGTTAATAAAATATCAAATATTTTTAGGAATCAGACATCTTATAATTCTTAATATTGACATTCCTATATAATTCAAATATAATGATAAGATTTATTGTGAGATGAAGATATTATTTATATTAAAATACTATATATTTAACAATTATTACTTTTTGAGTTTTAGTAATATCAGTATTTTTTTTATTTTATTTTTATAACTTTATTTACTTTTATGAATTCCAATCATTTAGTATTTCCATCATTTATTTTAAAACTAAATCCTCCTTTTAAAGCCTGAGAATTTCACTAATCACAATGATGACTCTTTGATTTACAATTAGTTTGTTCAATTTAATCTATTGGATTATAGATTGAAGACTTGAAAATTTTTTGTTAATCAATCTTTTTTCTGAAACTTCAAAATTTGAACATCCTTTTATTCAAGATTATTTCAAATTTCAGAAAATTGGTTTGAAAAAACTACATGTAGTGTGAATTAATTAGAATCATAAGTCTTGTTGACATATTACAAATATTTAATTACAATTCTTTCACCTTAAGTTAATATAGAGTTTCTATATTTAATTTGATGTGAAGAATCAATTTTTATATAAAAATATAAAAATGATAAAGATTTTAGTTTTTCAAGAGTAACTTTAATTTTCCTTGCCAGAATTGATCAAAACCTATATTATATTGAATTAAGGTTTTTCTCAGTTGTTCAGTCTGTAATTTATTAAAGGCTGGGAAAGTGCAGATATCTCCCCTACCGATATATAAGAAACATCAAGCATACAATCTCTCAGTAATGAAGACTCAATAAGGGTATTGCATATGAAAATTTGTAATCTCCTTTAAATTATCTTTATAGAAATACTAGTTTTTAATCCTTAATATTTTGAGATAATATGACATATTTTTAATCAAATGCAATTAATAAGTTTGGTAAGCTAGAATTAAGTTTAAGAAATATTTAGAAAAAATAATATAATATTATCACTTTAATTACAAAATGAAAAGGTTTTGAGAGAATTCTAGTATATTTATTGATGATCAAATTAATACACTTTAAAGAAAATAGGATTTCGATAAAATGCTAGAGTATTTAATTACATTGATTACTGTAATGAATATCAAATCTCAATTACATAAATTAAAATTATAATAAATAATGTCTTAAATATTATTTGTATTATTTTTACTAACAATACAAATTATATAATAACTTTTATGAATTTAAGCTATTTAAATCTTACACTCTTATTACCTCTATTTATAATAATCAATATTTTTTAGTTAGTACTTAAAATTCCTCACATTAAAAAATATTAAATTAATTTCTTAATAATCACGTTATGGAATTATTTAATGTCGACATTTTGATACTTATTAAGGTTTAGGAAAGAAATTGAGTATCATCTCTAATAGTTGATGATACATTAGTTCAATATAAATTCAAGAGATTTATCAAATTTCATAATGATTACTTCCATATTGCAATTATTATCATAATAATTCGTAACAAAAACATTAAGGTTTTGCTTTTTAAAGCTTTAATTACTATTGGAATTTGCCTAAATTGAGTTAAAAGGGATATTATCAAATTCAATTTATCAAATACTCAGTAATATATGTCTTAATTATAAATAATAATTTGTTCAATTAATTAGCTAAAATTGGCTTAATTATCGTAATAGTTTAATAATAATTGAAATTTCTAATTAAAATTGAATATGTAAGTTTAGTATTTGGAGTAAATGTGTTAACTTTTGATTCACTTTTAAATACTTAAATTTGAACATAAAATAGCCATTAATGATTCAATAAGGAGATTTTATATTTTATTTAGTCATTTTTTGTTCAATGTCTTTAGAGCTAGAGTAATAGTAAAAAATAATGAACTTAGTTATTTTGATTGCTTGTAAAAAGCAAAATATTAATTTAATTGTTAGCAATTACTATTTATCTTAAAGGAAATTATTTTTAACTATTTATATCAGACATATCATAAAAATAATTTAAAAACTAGCTGATAATTCATTATGTCAACAAAAATATATATACTTTTTAATTTATAACATCATCTGTAAACTTCATGATATAAAATTCATAACACTCTTGTTTATAAAACTATCATTTAATGACTGACTTTTTAAATGTTTCTTTAATAAATTTATTTAATGATTATTTTTGAAATATACAATATGAGTTCTAATTAAATTTCTTATTCATATAGAGAATTGAAAAACATTTGTATTTAGCTCAAATGTTTATTTTATTTAGATTTCAATAATTGAAGTTTGCAGTATATCATAGCTCAATCTTGAAATAGATGGTGTTTTGTAATTTATTTGATTTGGATCTGAATTAAACTGCATAATATTTTAGTTTTTGGCTTTAGAATTATGATTCAGACCAAAATGCTTTTCTCAAAGAAAAGAATTAAGTTGAATATTAACGGAATAGTGTTTTGAAATTCACTTCCTTCAGATTGATTTATATTAATAGAATTATAATAAATTCTAGAATATTCTTATATATATATATTTTATATTATAAATAATAAATATAGATTATTATGATTTGATTAATAAAAATATAAAAAATAATGAATAATTAGATTGAAATTAAAAGTGATGTTATTTAATAAAAGATAATAGAATGTTTAGAAGATGTATAAAATTAAATAGAAGTAATATTATTTAATATATAAATTTAATAGTCTTCATTCAATAAAATTGATAATTATTTAGATTAAATTCTTAATAATAATTGTGATTCTATCAATAATAATTATCAAATTAATTATTAAATATTACCAACATTTAACTTATCTTAAATTCATTTTCATAATTTACATTTTCCATAATAATTATATTAAGACATATAACCATTAATCATAAATAAATCTTAAATTAATAAATAATCATAATCAAATTAATAAATATAATCATTTAATAATAAATCATTTATTTATGAATTAATTCATTAATAATCATAAAATGAATATTGTTTTGCAATAACTTTTAATAAAGATTGTTCAACATTATTGACTGGATGTAATAATTAAATTAAAGTATTTGAATTCAACTAAGGAATGATCAAATAAACTTAAATTTTAAATGAACATAAGAATAATGTACATACTCTAAATTTTATGAATAAATCAAATTAGTTTATATCTGGTAGTCATGATAATTCTATTATTATATGGTAATTAAATCAAAATAATTAATGGATTCCCTAATAGACATTAAATGGACATACTAGTTAAATCTTTTGTTTAATATTAAATAATAATGAAGATTTAATCATATCTGGAAGTTATGATAATAGTATTAAATTTTGGATAAAAAAGAATGAATGGACGTGTTAATAAACAATTAAAGATCATTCTAGTTATGTTACTGGATTAAGTGTTAATTAATAATAAAATAGAGTTGTATCTTGTGGTTATGATAAATTAATATTAATAATGGAATAATAAGGATAGAATAAAGAATGGATTGTTATCTAAAAGATTACAGTTGAATCACATGCATTTAGAATATGTTTTATTGATAATAATATGTTTACATTATCATAAAAATATCAAGAATAGATATCTGTTTATGAAATGAACAATATCAATCAATAATTTACAAAGACTAAAGATATTGATGTAAAATGTGGATCATCAGATGGTCATTGTTTATTTCCTTAATAATATATAAATTAAAAATGTATTCTCATGAGTAAGAATGGCTAATATGTCAATTTGATAAGAAAAAAATTAAATGCAGAATTTGTAACTCAATAATCTATTCATTTTAATACAGATTATCTATTTGGAGGAATGAGTAATGATGGAGATTATTTGATAACTTGGGATAATAAATCATATTAAATATAAGTTAGAAGATATAAAGAATCTTGAAAATTATTAAGATTTAATATAAATATTATTATTATATTTTTATAATTTTATATTTTAATCCATTTATAAATTCAATTTTATTATTCATCATCTTTTTGATTCTTATTCAAATATAGCAAAATAGGAATCTTATAATAGGGATAATTATCATTTTATGAAGAAAAATGTTAATGATAACTTTGGATTTTAGACTTTGTATTTAAAATATCATTATAGGTTCATCCGCAAAGATTTTTTGTTTAAATATGTATCTTATTAATATAGCCTAATTCACTTTCAATTTGAATATTTTATTAAGGATATTTATATTAGGTAATAATTCAATAGATCAGTTTCAACTTTTTCAGTTATTCAAGTTAGAAATATTTATAAATTTTAATCGAGCATTCTAACTATACTTTAAAAGAATATTTATTTATATATTATGAGAATGAAAATTATTAAGTTAACATGAGAAACTGAAGATACTATCTGAAAATTTAAATAATCATGGAAAAGATAAAAGATTATATATAGATATAAAAGGAACATAGACAAAAAATAATAATAATTACTTTTCAATTTTTTAGATTAGTAAATTAGTTTTTCAAAAATACAAATGAATTTATAAAATAAATCCATTTTTTTAGAGATTCTAGCTAATTTTATTACATAAAGCAAGAAATTTAAACACTCCAGAAGGCATCTTTACACTTGCGAAGTATGAAAATATTTATATATCAGAATTACTAAATTTAAAATAGTTTTAGGAATTATAATATTAATAATTGTTGAGAGTATATATTAATGCTCATTAAGAAACTTATAGGAAAAATTTAAATCATAACAATTAACAATTCAACATTGTTTTTCATTTAATATTTCAAATATGGATAATCATTTAAATCTAAATTCCCTGAAACAATAAAATTAGTTAGAAAAAAGAATTTTGAATTGATACTTGAATAATTAAAAAAATTAAGACATGAGATGAAATAGAAAAATTAAATATACTTTATACAGTTCATTAACTTTAGAATAAAACTGATAAATTAAGCATTCAATTAAATGGTTTAAATAATAAATTTAGATAACTTAGAGATATATCATAAATTTATTAAAATAATCTTTAGGCTTAAAATATTTTAATATTTCCAGATCTAAAAACTTTATTAATTATAATTAATTAATTATTAGAATATAAAAATAGGATTAAATTATAAATATTATTTTTTTATTTATATTATGTTTACTAATCCAAAATTCTAAGAAATAATATAAATTTTAAATATCATAAAAAGAGACTCAGAACTTAAATTTACCATTCTTTCCATTAAATAAAATAGTTTTTATTGGTATTTAAATATATCTACTGCTTAATAAAAAACTATATATGAGTATATCTTAAAACTTGCCTCAATCAAAAAAATTCAAATATCTTTACTATTAATAATTACTTATAAAGTGATAGCAACATTCCCTAAATTTATTATTATTCAAATTTCATTCTTTCAAAAAACTTATTTAGAAATATTATAAATTTTACGCTTTTGAATACCTTTCTAAATAGATTTAAACTATATTTATAGAAATTTCAATTTCTTCATCAAAAATTAATTGATTCATTGATTAGTTAATAAAATAATGTTTTCTTAATTCCAATTCTGTTTTATGAATTTGTATTTTTAGTACAAATAGGAAGTTACAATCAAGAGTTTACTCTTGAGAATTTTGAGTTTATCAAAATAATTATGAATTTATGATATACTAGTAAAAATAACTTAAAAATTTCATAAACTCGGACAAATAAATAAATTACCATTTTCAATTTTATTTCTCATATGAGAGTGATTTTATTGTAATTTAATTTGTTAAAAAGCTATAAATTTTTTAGGAATCAAGATACTATTTTAATTGATATTTCAATAGATAATTCTATAAATTTAGTGATATTGCATTAGAATACTGATAATAAAAATTAATATAAGAACTTTAAGCTTTTAAAATAATTTGAAAATTTTAATCGCAAATTGTTAAATAAATGTAAATTTACATTGATTGGTTATATTTGATATACAGTTATTTACATTTTAACTTAATTTGAATATATTTAAAGATATCTTTATCAAGATATTTTCTTATCACAATAATATTAAATTTGATATCTGCATATTTCTGTTTCATAAAATAAAAGTCAAATATATAATTATAATTATGTATATTTATAAATTGATTTATAATCAAAAAGATTAATATTAATAAATTATTTTTAATTATATAAAATCTAATATTAATCATCTCAAATCTGCTTATTTCATAATGATGGTCCATTTTATTTCATTTCATAGTTGCTAATTTTTATAAAAATACATGAATTCAATTTATTTTAGAGTTTTTATATGAACAGTCATTATTATCTAGGAAAAATGAAAAAGAAAAATATCAAAATTATATAATTAAACAAAATATCAATTGAAATTCAATAAAAATTGCATAAATAACCTAAAATTTGGATAAAATCTATTGTAATTAACTAGAATGGTTATTTAAGTTTTGAGCTAAATCTTTAATAATTAATTTATAACCAAGATGTGAAATAGCCCTTTCTAAAACACTTAATGGTATTAGATATG